CGGCGGAAGGAGGAGGATGAGCGTGCCCGCGAACGTGGACTTGCTCCACCTGGTGCGCTGGTCTCTCCTCGAACCCTCCATAGCGACGAGGAGTTGTAGTGATTCGGCGCCGCTAGCGCATTTGTATATTTTGTATATATTTTATATATAGTTTGTGTGCGATGAGCGTATCGTCCATACGTTATGTTTTATGTACTTACTTGTAATACGCGGTTACTCTTTGTTGGTCTACTCTACGGATAGGCAGAGTATTTTTGTATATAGGTATGTCCGAGATACAGCCGAAACAGACAGTTTTTTTGCAGATTCGGTGTACATGCGACATGCGGATCGAAAGCTTCTAGAAGAATTCCAAGCGTTTTTAGAGATTTCCAAAACACATACTTGGCCATTACATTGTCAATAAAATCGAAAAACATAAGCTAAATCGCATGTCGTACGTACACAAATTTCAACCACTATAACGGCAAGCTAACTCAGATCGGGCGCAGCGCATGCGCACCAAGCGTTTTTAGAGATTTCCAAAACACATACTTGGCCATTACATTGTCAATAAAATCGAAAAACATAAGCTAAATCGCATGTCGTACGTACACAAATTTCAACCGCCGTAACGGCAAGCTAACTCAGATCGGTCGCAGCGTACGCGCGCTCGCGTGACACGAAACGTGTAACATGCGTACACCTCAATCAGGATTCCTGATTTAGCTGGCGCGCATAGCAACAGCGTACCATCGCGTTCGAAAATCGCCAATCGCTGCCCGAAACAGGGGGTCACCTCAAATTTTTCAATATTGCGAGAATCTCATAAGCGATTGTAAAAGGAAGTCTTTGTTCTTCAAAGAGGATAAAAGGCAAAATCGAGCAGCAATGCCTCTCTTCGCTGTTCTCGGTCAGAGTCAACGCTTCGCTACAAGTACAATCGCCTGGGAGACGCTCCGCCGCCAGAAAACCGCCGCGTTAGATTCGCGATCGAGAATTCGCGTAAATTGAATTTCAGCTAAAACGCCGTCTCAAAATTTTCTCGCTGTCGTTCTCGCTTTAACTCGCTCTCGAACAAGGTAACCCGATCGACAGTAGAGAGCCTAGTAGCTCTAAAGACTGGGGGATACTCTGACGATATGCAAGAATGCTCTTCTCTAGCCTGTAGTACGCAAGGGGGGGAATTTTTAGTCGATAGGCGGCCGCCCCGATGTATCCCTCGTGATCATGGAGCGGTTGAATCCGACATACTCAGTAGTGCAGACTGCTGGGCGTCTTCCCTCCCCGATAGGTGTCTCTTTTGGGTCCCCCTCGGATGAGGGCTTGTGAAGATTTTCTCCTCCCTCGTAAAACAAACAAAAAACAAAATAAAGGTATGAGACTCAACTTTGAAATCCCAAGTTCAAAACCCGGTAAGTAAAACCCAGTAAGTAACCCGATGAGTAAAAAAGATAAAAAATATAATTAAAAATTACTATTAATTAATAAAATTGGTTGTTTAAAGTAAAATGTACTATCGCTAAAAAATAATAAATTACAAAAAATATTCTATGTTGTACAATTTTTTTTCTAATTTTGTTCAAACAATTTTAACATTTAAAAAACATTTTTAACATTAAAAAAATGTTTCCTTTAAATGTTAAAAAAAACGTTGTTTTAACATTAAACAAACATTTCCTTTAAATTATTAAATTATAATATTAAATATTAAATAAACGTTCTTTTTAACGATTAAATAAACATTTTTTAAATGAAAAAATAGGGACAAATCCCGTTATTTAAACGTTTTTTTAAACGTTTTTTAAAAGTTTTTAAAACCGTTTAAAAAAACATTTAAAAAAATGTTTTTTTCCCCATTGGGGAATTCGATTCTAATTACGCTGTCCGGATGAATATAATTGTAGTAGCAATCCGCTGCACTAACCTCAACAGGATTTAAAGTACACAAAAATTTTCGCTATTATCGTACTGCGCTGCGTCTACGCGGGCCGCCATCTTCATTGTTTCAAAATCTAAAAATTTAAGGGTGGTTGCGGGTGGGATTATCCATCTGGACGAGACAGCATAATTAGAATCGAAGTTCACAGTAAGTTCGTTCAATTATGCTTGTCTCGTCCGGATGGATATAATTGTAGAAATTTAAAGCATAGATTTGTAGATAGGAGAGAATAATACTTTATCTATTCTCCCAAAGAGTAATATTACAGATGTTCAGACTTACTCACACATAGAACTGAATCTTCTACTGAATATTATTACAAACCTCCTGGGTACTAAGTATCGACTAGAAGGATTGATCGTTGATTATCGGACGATTGTAAAATCGAAAGCGAAACCTCTGAAAATGTACTCCATTCTGTCGTACGCCAGATCTCTTCTATATTAATATCCCTGCTGGCAGCAAACGAAGTTGAGGCATGCCGTGTAGAATGAGCCGAAAAAATAGAAGTATCGACTCCAGCTGCTAGTTCCGTCTTAATCCAGCGGCCTAACGTTTGTGCGGATATAGAGTTATACGGAGGATGAAAGACGATAAATAATGAATTGGCATCTTAAATTGGCATTTCTTCTAATTCCTTAATGAGCTCCAAAATAGAACTTTGTTAATGAGTAAATACAAAGACTTGGTTGATCCACAAATGGTTTGAAAATTAGGAGTGGCTGTGGTTTCCCAATTCTGGAGGTTTTAAGTTTAGCCGAGATTCTAATAATTAGAGAATCGGCAAAAACAATATTGGAGAAGTGTATTCGCCAAAGTAACCTTTGTACCGTTGTGAGTATCAGGAGCGTCACCAGTTTTTTGGATACTAATTCTAGTGGAAGACTCTCATGGGGGTATCCCGCAGCTAAGAGGGTGATAACCGAGTCCCAGAAACTCGTAACGTGAACTCTGAGGCTTTAACGTTGCGACTCCCCTGAAGAACTTCCTAGAGGATCAGAGCTAATCTCGTTCGAAACTATTAGAGAAATGACTGCATGATACGTATTCAAAGAAGAGTAGAAATTAACGCTCACTAATGAAGAAGATAAAAATTCCAGTACTAAAGACACAGATGGTGAGAACAAATCAGCTTGTTTTTCTTTGCAAAAGACCATAACTTAAGTGGCTTGTTATACTGAGCGATCGTAGCATCTGAGAGGGATGCTAACGTCACGTCCAGCGCTGGAGCTTCTCTTGGCTAAAAATGCTTGGCAGATAACCTGGCGGCCACCAGGAAAATCCTGTTTCACACTGTCTCACGTGAGTCTCTCTGAAAGGAGATGATAACATGTTAATTTCAGGTTCAAATTGAATCTTTCGGCTAACTGATCACGAGGCGATTAAACAGCCGAAACCATGGCTGAGTTGGCCAACAGGGAACAACTAAAACCCTTTCTGCTCCGTCGGTGATGGTCTTTCGAAGAACTCTTAGTATCAATATGAACGAAGGGAATGCGAAATAAAACTTATTTCAACTTAATGAAAACGCATCCACTGCGTAAGCCAAAGGGTCTGAGAGCCAGGAAACAAAACAAGGACACTTCGAATTAATTGATGTGGCAAACAGATCTATATCAAAAGAGCCGAAAGAAGTTTCAATTTCGATGAAGTAATTCTGACCTAAAGACCATTCCGTTTCTTTTGAAATAACGCGAGATTCCGCATCCGCCTCGATATTTAGAGCAGAAGGAATGTACGAGGCATAAATGAATAAATCTCGCTCAGCGCACCAATTTCATATTTCTCGAGCAAAACCCGATAAAATTGGAAACTTCACCGAACCATGCGGTTAATATAAGATAAAGCCGTCACGTTGTTGACTTTTAACAGGATGTTGCAGCTTCTTAGGTGAGAAACGAAACATCTCAAGGCGTGAAAAACTACCAAAAGCTTGAGGTAGTTAATACGCTTTTTCATCGGCGACCAAAACCCGTGGGTTCGCAACGTGATTTAATTTTATTGCGTTGAGAGCAGTCCATAAAGTGTTTTTCCACCATAGATCTTCTTCAATTAACTTAGAACCATTCAGACCTTGAAATTTTCATTTGCTGCTAAAAGAGTTGCTAGAATTTTTTTTTATCTTAGTGTATAATATTCCATACTGCACGGCTGGGCAGACTATAGAGAGATTAGCGAACTAATAAGACTTGCAAAGATTCGAATCTTACATGATTCTTTGTTTAATATAAACAAAGTCTTTTGGAGGCATTTATCTCCCTTACCTTGTGGAATTGCAATTAAAAAATCTTCCGTGTTAAAAATGAAGCCTTAAAAACCGAGCAGATTTCGTTGGAATAAGTTTTCTTTTACGTCAATGACGAAGCCTAAAGAGATTAAGAGCTTTAACGTTCTCTCGACATTGACCGTAAGAAGAATTATTAGATCAGTAAAAAATCATCTAAATAAGCTATTGAGAAGAAGCTTTTCTCTCTAAGAGTATGAAGAACTATATTTTTGAAAAAATTTAAGGAGCTGATGCCAGACCAAAGTAGAGCTCTGAACTGAAAAAGTTGAGATCAGAAACGAAATTTTCTATCCTCCTGATGAATAGGAAGCAGAGAATACGCGTTCTCCAAATCAATGGCGGCAAGCAGATCTGGCGACAGAAGATTGATAACCATCCTCCAATCCTTTATTTTAAAATGCGGTGCCATAATATTGTATATTCATTGAGACGCTTAAGGTTTAAAATAAATCTTTAATCTCCTGAGGGTTTACTGATGACAAAATATGACAACAAAAATTGATTTCTGGAATCTGACACGAGCTCAATTGCTCCTTTCTCAATAAGATTAATAATTTCTCGATAATATTTTCTTTTAACTCAGATAGAACTGCTAACAATTCATTCTTTTGGGGAGGCGGAAACTCTCTAAATGGAAGTCTGTATCCTGAGATAGCCTTTAGGATATTAGGTTCGAAGTAATTTCTTTTCACTTGCGAAAGAAAAAAGGCCAATCCGTCGGCAGACTTTACCTGGTCAACTTTCAGTGTCTCCTTGAATGGTGAGATGACCTGCGATTGCTGCTAAGCGCCCCTATCGCTGGTCTTGTTCTCGGTGCAGGGGCGCGAGATTTCCCACCTTAGAGGGAGCTACTTGATCTGGTTGTTTAATTGGCTGCAATACCTTTTTGGATACTACCAGAGGCATCTTAATGATATCCTTTGAAGATTTCTCCATGGCTGACGCCTTCTTCATTTCCTTGCTAAACGAAGTGCCGAATAGCAAACTATCCGCCGGGATAGCATCTACTGTTGCCTTCGCCAAAAGGTTAAAGGCAGGTTTAATCTGCGCTCTTCTCGACAATGATAGGCGATAAAAAAGATCTACTAAGATCTTTGCCCCTTCATTGACCTTTGCTACTGCCGATCGTGCTTCAGAGTTCAGAATTCATACTGAATTTCTAGCTTGAGGAAGATAGCTTTTCCGAGAGCATAGGCCAATGTCTATCTAGTCTTGATCTCGTGCGTTGTATTCGTACCTTTTAATGATGGTGTTGCTTTTTAGCTGATTTGCATTCAAGATTTAATCTGGAGCCTTTAAAAAAAGCGAGAATCTCGGGAGGAGCGTATTTCTTTATCAGGAGAATCCGTTCCTCTGCCTGCGTACCCTTGTTCGAGAGTTCATGCTACTTGGCGATAACTCGATCATTCCAAGAGTGTTCATCTAAACCTTCGGCTTCAATGCCAAATAATTCGTTAAATAGAGCGTTCGTTAGACCTTCGTTCTATGAGATAGACACGAGGGAAACCGTCACCGTGACTTCTTTGATTGACGGAGGCGTAGGGAAAATTTCGCCCTCGATATTTATCAAATTTGCACCAGAAGAAGGGTTATTCCGATTCATCGGAAAAGTCTTACCACCTGTATTCTGCAAATACAACTCAGAATTGATGTACACTATAGTAAGCGGATCTCTTGGCCTTTCCTGTCTCGCAGACACTGCCAAAGTATTATCGCATTCGATGTTCGGTACGTGGTTATTCTGGTTAGCGATCTTTGCTAAGGATAACCTTAGACTGCGTTTCGATATTAAACCTCTGATTTTGCGGACCCTCGCTATGAGTGTTCATACCGATAGAGAGAGAGAGAGAATAAGAACTTCTAACCTCATTATGTGACAACATCTTGAAAAGCGTGCTACCTTCTCGAGATTCGCGAGACGTTCTCTGGAAGACTATCTCTTCCTTTTTCTCAACCTGTTGAGATATTATATGTTGATTTTCCCATCATAAAAGCTAAAATCATGAACAATCTATAATATTGTCGAACACGACTGTTGAGGAATTGCACAACAGGAAATCAATGAAGATGGCGGCCCGCGCAGACGCAGTACGATAATGGCGGAAATTTTTGTGTACTTTAAACCCTGTTGAGGATAGTGCAGCGGATCGCAATTATATTCATTCGGATGAGACAAATATAATGAAAAATTTATCTTTGCCATGTGAATGAATCTCATTATGTACTGTATTAATATTATTAATATGATATTTTATTCTTTTTTCAATAGTAAAAAAAATAAATTGAAATAGATAACTATTTTTTAAGAATATATATTAATCGCAATAATTAAATTTTTTTTGGTGGAAACGGGGGGACAACGAAACAATTGAACTATTTTGTCCACAATGCGAATGATTATGCCCCTTTTGGGAATATGATGGACATGTGAATAAAAATTGAGGAATCTGTCAGAAAAAGTTATCTTCTAATATCTATCAAAACGATTGTTTTATTTTCATCTAATGTATCCGAAAAACTTAATCTCTCTTCAGTACCTATATTATTTCCATCGTGAATTATAACTTCTTATTAAAAAAATTAAAAGTATTTAAAATTTCTTCAATACTATCTGATGGAACTAAAATGATATCATCGAAAATAAAATAACAATTTTAGGTAATTTCTCTATTGCAAGTTCTCTAAGTCTTGTATTATTATCTCAGTCACAATTGGAGACAATGGTGAACCTATGAGAGTGTCAAAAATCTGTTTATAGAAATTGTTGTTGAATAAAAAAAGAGATAAAATTTAAAATCATATGGATTGCATTCAATTTTTCGAATATATGTATAATTCCATCTTTTACTAATGTATTAAATATCAATTCAATAGAGATATTAGTAAAAAGAAAAACAACATCCAGAAAAATCAGTACATATTCTGATTTGAAACAAATTCCATTTAATTTTTCAACCAAATGGAAGCTATTTTTGAAATTCTAGGTGCTTCTGGTATACAGTCTTTAATATTGCGTAAGTAGAGTGGAAGATAATATAATGGACTATTGACGAATCAATCACTCTCAATGGGTTTGCGAATTTTAGTTAAATCATAAGCTCTAAGTACATATATTACAATCAGTGGTGATTAACCTTCGATATGTGGAATTGTTAATATAACTTTTGTTTTTCCATCTATTGAGGTGTATAAATTTTGGATCAGTTTTTTTATAGGATCTTTTTCAATACCTAGATAAGTGTCAGAGTCTGAATGAATCTCTTGCATATTAGAAATATAACGTTTTTCGTTTTGATTTAATAATAGAAATTTATTATAGAATCTATTAAGAATCTGTATTGTTTCTAACAAATTTAATTTAAAATCGGTAATTGTTGAGTTTAACTCCTGACGATTCTGCCAGATTCGGTTGTTTTTTGCGCAAAAACGCATCGAATGAGCCTAATTTTTATCTACATCATATGCGAGGGAGCTAACTCAATTTTCTGAAAAGTACGGAAAAGTAACGATTCGTTACTTTTTCAAATAACGGTAATGCCTTACATTTTAGAATGAGTAACTAGTAACGGTAACGAGTCATTTTTGACAAAAAAGTAACTGTAACGGTAACATTTCTTTTTTAAGATAATATTCCCAACTCTGTAAAATACTTAAAATAATTTTGTTTGAATTGTCAAAATAAATATATAGGATGTATACAAATAATTAACATTCGAATACTGTAATATATATTTTATAGTGTGTAGTTGCTTGAATGATAAAAATTTGCAACATTGTTGTATGGACGTAATCAAGATTTCATTTAGAGAGGAAACCAAATCTAGAGTTGAGGCTTTCGAACCCAAGGAAGAGAGAGTAGTCTAATGACTAGTGTACTAGTGATACAGACTTTTGGATTTGTTTTGTTTTATATTATCATTTTTAACTAATTACTGGCAAGTGAATCACAAAATTTAATCACACATATTCAATTTATTTTTTTTTAATTGTAAATTATTTCTTCGAACTGAAAAAATATAAATTTATAACTCTACACTCTAAATCTGTAGCAGAAATTTCACTGCATTGAGTTGAAATATCATTCTAGGCGTTAGTGCACTGAAAAAAAATATAGTCAATTTTAATAAATATTTAGTTGAATACTGCCAACTAAATATTTATTAAATATAAAGATATATTTATTTGATACAAGAAATGTTAATTTAATTTAACAATCTTTTTTTACTGAACAAATATTTATTTACTGTAAATAAATGTTTAGTTGGCAGTATTTAACTAAATATTTATTAAAATTGATTATTTTTTTTCTTAGTGTGGCAATTGGGTCATTGCTATTGCCAGTAAATTTTACTACAAGGTGGAAATGGAAAATTCATTTAATAATTGGAATGAAAAATTGATTCCAAAAAGGAGTGAATTTGGAATAGAATAATTATGGAATGATGTCATTCCAAATCCAAATAACAAAAAGAAGATGTGAAGATAGATTTTGAGCAAAACAAAATTAATTAATTAATTAATTAATAATGCTTGCCTGTGGCAAAGTGTTTGAATTCATTACGCACAATCACGCAAAATATATTAATTTGTGTTCTATGTTTTATATGCGTTCCAAGATGCACCCGTAACATTCACAACAAACGAAATAATAGTGCGCTTTGTCGCTAAATTCACTCCTTACTATAACATTCAATGCATCTTGCATTGTATCAATAATGCTAATGCTTAAACTACTTCAGTCGAATGAATAGTCTACTTATTATGTAAGATTGGACAGATGAACTTAAAAGCAGTGAAAATCCATACTTAAAACAATGACTTCACTACTCACTTTTGTTAGCAGTAAAATTTCCATTGCTACAGATTTAGAGTGCAGCTATCTTGAATTCTCTCAAAAAAATTTTTCTATATGTTGAGAGAAATGCGATCTAACGTTAACGTTTCACATGATAATCAATTCGTTTCTTTTGGATTGTTCCGTCTTGTCCTTTTTTTTTAGTTCATGGAGTCACGTGATACGCGCGCGCTCTTACCCTACCTTACCATACTATTTTCTTCCGGACAGTTAGTTCTGACTCAAAATCTTTTACTTTGTAACGGCTAATTTAAAGTTATGATATACTTGAGTAATCGTAATAAATCACTTATTCTATGTTTCATCTGTATCTAGTTATTTATACAAAATAGCCCAACACTATAACTTTCACTTCCAATTCTTTCTTCTTTTCCAAAATTAATTTCTTATTAATACTCATTGAGCATAGTTCGTAATTTTTTGAAATTATTTTCGTTCTTCTTTAAGATTTAAAGAGGTTACAGTATCCCCTGGCCACTTGATTACGCCCATTGTTATTAACGCTTGAATGTTCTATATGATTAGTTTGATCGGCCTGACAAAATTGTTTTCAGATCTGTATTTAACTAAATTTTTAAATGCTTCAGCATCGTTCTTTTCATGTATTGTTTTTATAGTGTCTTCAATTTCCACGTTGTGTAACAGAACGTTTTCAATGCAATTCGAATTCCTTACTTGAACTAGTTTTTGAAGGGTATCTCTAATAAAGCGTGCGCGACAAAATTTACATGAAATGGCAACGTTTTAACGTCGACGAAATTGGTTTCGTCGGCGACATCGTGTTGACAGGAAGATGGTAATAAAATTATTCTAAGTGTAGTTACAGTCCGTACAGGAGCAATAAAGATTAAAGAGCGGGATCGATATACTTCGAACTAAGACCTGCAGTGGCACGAAATCAATTTACATTTTCGCCAAGGAGTATCGCTTAAAATGAATTTGCATTTCTGATTCATGCGACCTCCGATCCTCTATTCTCATCTAAAAGTATAATTTCTCCTGAAATATTAAATTCTTGGAATACACATTTTTGTTCGCAGAATAGCGAACGCGGATGCCTTTATCGTATTATGGTAATATTTATACTCCACCGTCAACTTCTTCCTATACGTTGTAGAACATGTCGCGATGCGAAAAACTGTATGTATATATTTCCTTTCCCTCAAAGCGCACGATACGTCGCGCCGTCGAGATCATCAGGTGCTCAGATATATGTAACATTGCGTTCTGAAAAATGTGGAAATTAATAATTACTAGGAATAACTACTGGAAAAATATATTCTTGGCAGCTTTGATTTCGTCGTAAAGTATTTTATTTGACAAATGAGACGATCGTGCTTTGTATTTAAATATTGTGATAATAGTTAGAAGACCACCGTTCTTTCCTCCCTTCGAACATTATCTCGTATGATATTACGAACGTTCGCTGTGCAAATTAAATAACGACGTCCTATTTATCATTTTGTCATTTTCGCCGGCAATGTTGTCTCATCTGCGGTTTTCTCGTTCGAGAGATGCAGTCTCGCCACGGATCTTAACGCGGCGCTGTGTCCCTCCACGCACCGTTTGTTTTGAAATTTCGCATTGCTCTTCATTAAGATAATGATCCATATATTTTTATAATCGAATCTCAACCGTGTCAATTAAAACGATTAGAAGTCAGTTAAAACAATATCTATATATACAGGGGAAGGTCGCCGACATACAACTTTATTTTTAAATAATTTTCTTAAATAAAAAAAGTTAAAAATAATGCTTTAAATACATCAATACATAAATACAAACTAAAAAGTGTCTTTTATCAGATAATCAGTTTTTATAATACTGTTTGTTAATTTTGCCACAATTAATTTTTTCGTAAAATAAACAAAAATGAGCGTCCAAAATTGACACAGTAAACAGTAATACATATTTCTATTCTTTTTCTTTTACAAAAATTATCTGTATAAAATGCTTACAACTGAATGTATATAATTTCCAGAATCTTTTCACTTCGATATAAAACATTTTTGTTG